TGGCCTCCAACCTAGAAGCGATGGCCTCCAACTTACTAGCGATGGCCACCAACCTAAGAGCGATGGCCTCGGAGGGATGGCCTCCAACCTAGAAGCGATGGCCTCCAGCTTACTATAGCGATGGCCTCCAACCTAAGAGTGATGACCTCCAGCATACTAGCGATGGCCTCCAACCTAGAAGCGATGGCCTCTAACCTAAGAGCGATGGCCTCCAACCTAAGAGTGATGGCCTCCAACTTACTAGCGATGGCCTCCAACCTAGAAGTGATGGCCTCCAACTTACTAGCGATGGCGATGGCCGCCAACCTGGAAGCGATGGCCTCCAACCCAAGAGCGATGGCCTCCAACCTAGGAGGGATGGCCTCCAACACTCTAGCGATGGCCTCAAACCTAGAAGCGATGGCCTCCAACTTACTAGCGATGGCCTCCAACCTGGAAGCGATGGCCTCCAACTTACTATAGCGATGGCCTCCAACCTAAGAGTGATGGCCTCCAACGCACTAGCGATGGCCTCCAACCTAAGAGCGATGGCCTCCAACCTAAGAGCGATGTCCTCCAACTTACTAGCGATGGCCTCCAACCTAGAAGCGATGGCCTCCAACTTACTAGCGCTGACCTCAAACCTAAGAGCGATGGCCTCCAACCTAAGAGCAATGGCCTTCAACCTAGGAGCGATGGCCTCCAACCTAGGAGCGATGGCCTCCAACCTAGAAGAGATGGCCGTCAACCTAAGAGGGATGGCCTCCAACTTACTAGCGATGGCCTCCAACCTAAGGGCGATGGCCTCGAACCTAACAAAACAGCACAAGCAGCCAAACAAAAACACAGCAGCAAAACGGACAATGAAGCCCTGCGCACAAACACAAAACACAAACACACAAAAAGATCGCATTACTATCACTAACGCAAATAAACAGAAGGACTACATTAGACCTGACTTTTTGCTCAGGTCCCGGAGGGAGCAATGAAACATCATCAAATCATGAAACGATGTGTATATATTTATAGCCACGGCCTCCACCCTACTAGCGATGGCAACGTAAGAGCGATGGCCTGCAATAACCTACTATTATACCTTATGCTGTTTTGCCCGCATTCGCCGTGCTGCATCCGCTGCGGTTTGGAAAAATCCAGACTTTGTTGTAGCATGCTGCTCTGTGACCCTGTGGCATTTACCAAGACTGTGGCCCTGTGCGGTGGAAGACCGTGGCATCTCCAACAACTGAAGGCTGCGTTGGATGGTAAGTCAGAGAATCAATCACTGCGAACTGCGGCTTGTTTACAACCACCTCACCCAGTAAACCACCAGAAGACGACATACCGTATTGTGCTTAGGGGTAACATCACCAACTCTGCTCCCTACAAACAGAACCAGATCTTGGCAGCAGGGCTCAGTAGGATCGCGATCTCTGTCTCCACCACTGCCGCCACTGCCACATCACCATCCCCCCAGCATCAGCCCCACCAAGAAGAAGAATGACAACAACATCTGCAACATTGATACCAACAACATATCAGTAACGAGTCCTTGGAGAAAAAGGACACCGCGGTGCGGTGCCTGAGTATTTCCCCTTGGTTTGGCTGCTGTTTTCAAAACAAAACCGACGTCGACGCTGGTCTGACGCGACGTCGTCTCTTTCTGGTCAGGGCCGCCGAGCCGGTCAAAGCACCTGAGAGCATGGATGGGTTTCGAAGTGCGTGGAGATAGAATCAAAAATGCTGAAACTAAAGGGTTGGAAGAATGTGCCAAATGATTTGATGTGAAGGATCTTGAAGCAAACACACATCCTAGCTAGCAACACAAACGATTCAAAAGCAAATTCCTGTGTGTTTGTTGGGGAGTTTTATCGCACAGCCTCAGCACTGCCGGGCATCCTGGTTCTTGCTTGAGAAGGCAGGAGTGCAAATTACGTAAATTATTGATATGCTCACTTTGCCCCGCCTGGTCCCAGCACAACGTATCGCTCGATGGTATTGATGTTGTTTTGTGGCGTCGGATACTCTTTCAGGGGTTCCTCACCGCTTCCAGGAATTCAGTGGCAGCGTGTGCTCCGCAGTATCTCCTATATTATATATATATAAGAGGTCCCTAGGAGTGAGGTCAGTTCCACTGCCCATCCCTCCGACGCCATGTATAGCTCCAGAAGTCTAAGCTCACTGCGGGGCGTCTTCCTTCGACCTGATGCAAACTGTGAGATGGGGTTTCACCTATGGGCGACAGATCCTGCATTTCCTGAATGGGCGTGATAACAAGCAACACTCACTCGAAATAGTTGGCAAATGTTGGCAATATCAAAAGTCTCCGACATGCTCGGACAGGTCTCAGACATTCTCCGACAGTGCAAAAACGAGGCTGTGCTGCACGCATGAAACCTGCTAAATATCATCAACATACCATGCAACCATGGTGAAACAATGTGAAACATAAACCTGCTAAATAGGGTCGCACCATGCAACCTGCAACCGGTCGAACCGCCAGCCTCCCCATGTTCGGCTGCCGAGGTCCTCACGAGGTGGGCAACAGCTTGGCTTCGATTGAAGTAATCAGGAGAAAAGACCCCCTCTCATGGGTGATTAGGACAAACTTTGGGCTGACTGACTCCAATATACTCCAATAATTAATGACACCACATGACTACGAACCCCAAGTCTGCGCCTCTCCAATGACTTCAGGAAGTGCAGGCGCTGAGACAACCTGCCAAAAGATGCAGCTCGGTGGACGACAGTTGGTGTTTTGGTGGGCACGAGTTTTTTCGGGGGAAACAGGTACAACAACCATGCATTCGCATGCGTTCGGAATGATTCAGCGCCTTGCCATTGGCATAAGTATCGGCTTGGTTGACCTACCTTGTCATTCTTGACATGGTGTTGGGGCTCCGAATTTTAACCCATCCCCACATCCAAGCATATCCAAGCAGTTATCGTCCAATTAGGAACTGAAAGGTCCGACCACTTTTGGAGGCACTTCTTGGCCGGGGGCGGGAGCGGGTTCCCGATCCCCCTACACTCATGACAATGACATTCTAGTCTGTGGCAACTGGCAACACCCTGAGGAACTGAATGGCTAAACGACCTGTTGAGGAATTCGCAGGAACATTATCTTTCGTGCAGATTTTGCTCAGGCCGGTGACAGCCTGCTCATTCCCAGTTGAACCAAAACTGGCATTGTTCTCTTCTGCATTCCTTTTGGCCAAACTGAAAGGATGCCCTGAGGCGAAAGTCAAATGAACAAATATGTTGTTCACGAACATGAGACAGCGCGGGCAACCCGGCCTGCTATTTCGCGACCAGCCGGCCGGCCGGCTGGCCAAGTAGTAGTGGTGGTGGTGGTGGTACTAGTACTAGTACTAGTAGTAGTAGTAGTAGTAGTAGTCGTCGTCGTGGTGGTGGTGGTGGTGGTGGTACTAGTAGTAGTAGTAGTAGTCGTCGTCGTCGTCGTCCTCGTGGTGGTGGTGGTGGTGGTGGTACTAGTAGTAGTAGTAGTAGTAGTAGTAGTAGTAGTAGTAGTAGTGGTAGTGGTAGTGGTAGTGGTAGTAGTAGTTAAAGTAGTAGTAGTAGTAGTAGTAGTAGCAGGAGTAGTAGTAGTAGTCGTAGTAGACTAGTAGTTAGACTAGTAGCAGTACTAGACTAGTAGTAGTACTAGACTAGTAGTAGTAGTAGTGGTAGTAGTAGTAGTAGTAGTGCTAGCAGTAGTAGCAGTACTAGTAGTAGCCGACGGTCGTTGATCAGCCGGCCGGCCGGCCGGCTGGGCTGTGGATCTTGGCCGGCCGGCCGGCCAGCTGGACCGTGGTTCTTGGCCGGCTGGCTGGCTGATCGAGAAATAGCGGGCCGCGATAAGCTCGCAATGAACATGAGATACCCAAATGTTTGATTCCGAGAGGATGTTTGGAGTGGGGGTCGTAGGGGGGTTGGGAGGAGGGCAATGACGCCGCTCGAGGGATGCGTCGACATGCGTGGAATTTGTCCGACTCGAAGCAGCATGGGTGAGCAAATGCAGAAGCAAACTTATGTATTAAGCCTTTCCTATTACTATTGCTATAGTAACCGTGGATGATGATGGTTCAGTTGCAGGCCTTCCAAAAAAATTAGGTCAGTGATGTTCTTGCTGACTGACGGCTCTACAGGAAAGAACGGACAAACCCAACATGACCCAACTTATGCATGTCCCAACTTCATCTCAAGGGACTGAATCACGAGGGGGGTTTCTATTTGTCTTTTGTGTTGAAACAATGCAAAGACATGATACAATCCGTAGCCGGCACTTTGGGGGGGGAAACTTTGAACACGGAAAAGTCTATTTCGTGTGGGACTGCTGACACGAAAGCACGGCCCGAAAGGACGTGAAACCAATTGTGAGTATTAGAGAACTTCTGGGAGGCTTTGCGACTCATTGAGGCGATCGGCATGGTTGAAGCAGTTTGCGGGATTGGTCGTAATTCAAAAAAAGGGTTGTTTTTTCTCAAGGAAACAAAGCCCAAACACTCCATGGGACTGCCATATTATGCCGATCAGTTGGGGTGGTTTGGGGGGGTCAATGAGGCGGCAGTCCTATGGCAGTGGATCCTCCGTCCAACGGGAAGAACGGTGGATCCTCCGTCCGCATTGCACTTTTGTTATCTTTTGTTGGACGCTGGAATCACGCCGACGATGGTTTCGAGTTCAACTTACAAGAGGAGACGTGCACTGAAGGTCTTAAGTGGACGTAGAAGGTCTTGATTCTTGTTTCTGAATGTCGCTCAACTTACTATCCAGCAACCTTTTGGGTGTTGGTGTTGAGATAATCTGACTGGAAACAACTGCATGAAATCACTTTGTCGGGCTACTGTGGATTCATTCGCTGTTCCAGCACAAGCATTAGATAGACTGGTGGCGATTTTGTCTTTTTGAGTTGACATTGCCAACGGCGTTATTTAGACTCAAAAGGCATATAACATAATGCAACATATGATGGTGCCTTCAGAGGTTATAGGTATACTGATGTTCACCTATCTGTAAGGAGCGTCTGATGAGCACCCCTTTCGGTAACACACTCCCGATGTAAGAGAACCTAAGTAACAATTCCGATTTAAGAGAACTACGTGAAAAAAAAAAACCGATGTAAGAGGACAAGGTAGAACCACGAAATCCGAGATCGGGCGACACGGAATGGCACAGTATGGGCTTACATCGGGTGTTCTTAAGGTATGTCCATTGGACACTCCTTAGGCTTAAGGGGTGACCAATGAGCACCCCTTGGTTTCCTCTGGTTTTGACTACCGACATGGAATGACACGGATTGACACGCAGGCGGCTGACGTCTCCAGCGACCCGAATCCCAAATCCTGTCCATTCACACTTATCCCTTAAAAAGTTGTGATTCTATACGAGGATCCCTCAAAAGTACTTGTCAAACACTTAGGTTTCTAAGGGGTGTCCAATGGTTTTTAGCTGAAGGGGCGTGCAATGGACAGGACTTCGATGTACCTGGTAGTTGACAGATTGCATGGCCGCAGCCTTGCCTAGCCCCACTTAGAACGGTCGTCAACCCCGCCTCGGCGAGATGTGGCCGCCAGCCTCAGCAAGAGTTGCTTCCATTGGTCCCACCAACAACCAATGGGTCCCTATGGTTGCCTTATATATATATTGTTCCTATTGTTGTTACATAAACAAAAGCCATCCGTCTCAATAAAATAACCACCATGATCACTCGTCGTAATGGTCATTCATCCTCCATTCGTCACTCCCATTAAGTAGGACTAGGATAGATCAGTTGTGAGAAGTCTGTGGTGTAGGGGAGGTCTGATGATCTCATGAATTTGGTCTTAGCATGATTTAGATTGATTTAGCATGTTTTAAACTTAACCGATCACTCATTTTTTGGGGGGTGAACCCGGAAAAAAACATATAAAACATGTTCTGGTTCTATCCGATATCCTATCACCAGAAACCCATGGATGATGATGGTTCAGTTGCAGGCCTTTCTAGAAAGAATAGTGATGTTCTTGCTTTCCGACTGCTACAAGTATAGTAATAGATGGTAAAGGACAAAGCCCAACAATTACATGCTCTGTACGACCAGGTCGTTCGCCCAGCCTCGCTCCGGACGAGCCCAGTGGTGAGGCCTCTTGCGCCGGGCCTCCGCGATTCGCGGAAAACCGTGGGAAGTGTGTTTCGATTTGCGCGTGGGAGTCCAACCGCTAGGTTTGGATGGCAATAAGTGATTGGCACAATCATCTTATTGGTATTCTTAACTATTGACCATGGTGTTGTGATTTCATCTGAATGGTCTACATGCCAGTGGCGACACCCCAATCAATGCTTTCTCTCCCTCACGCATCCCTTGCGAAAGCCTTCAGCACGCAAGGCGGCAAAAACAACCTCAGTATGGGCTATGTGCCGGCACACGGTGGCCATGTTACAGCACATACCCCGTTCTAAGACTCCAAGTACCTCCTCAAAAGGTAGTTAGACCCTCCAAACCCAACGATGACGCGAGAGATCACGAGTATCTGTTTTTTTTGGTAGAGCTGGTGAAGTGTGTTGAAGGACAAGACCCTCACCGCAAAAGGACTTGATGCTTGCACAGTCATCCCACCTGCATGTACACATTCAATCTTTCGTACAATGGTAACATCCACTTGCTTGCGAGGCCAGTTACCCCAAAGTGAGCAAAACCTGGCCGCATGTATACCTCGAAGCAACTACCAATTACATGCCACATAAGTATGGGCAGCTATAAATGTCTTTACAGGATTCATCGCTGAATTTCAGGATTATCAATTCCTCACATGGGATTGCAAACTGACTGCACTTGACGTGGAAGAGTTGCATCAAAGCTACTGAGCCTTCCTCACACAAGCACGAATCTCAACATGCACCCTGTGCCATGGTCGTTCAGAATGCCATGTTCCACTTCCATGACTGTGTGAAGTAGAGTGCAGCTCTCTTGTTGCAAACACCGCGCAAAAGGAGAATCCTATTGGAAAGGAGTGCACACTTTCCGCCCTATGTGGTCAGCGTCCTCCACTGGTGCATCGCAGCATCACAAGTCTTTTTCTTGCGCCATCACGCTCTACCAGGGCTTATCCTCGTAGTCGTAGCGAACGGAGGCACCACTGATCCACACATCCTGAAAACCTCGGTTGGCCACCTCAGCACAGGAGAATGAACATGATGAAATGCCTAAGAACAAAGGGTGGACTCCAAAACACATCCCCTCAAGTGTACTCTGCTCCCGGTTCGAGTGAGTGGCCAAAAGGAAACACCCTGGGAAAAAGAACAATGAATGAGTGATCATCACGAGAACCAGCTCTGGAGTTGGCCAACTCTCTTGTTAAAATACAAAAAATCCAGTACGTGGGGTGTGATCTCATTTCTCATCATTCCTTCTCTCGTGACATTGTAATGATATTAATGATAATCTCTCGGCGATCTATGCACTTCTACAGATCTACTTTGCACCAAATGTTCACCCCCCGCCGCCAAAGTAAGACCAATGGTTTTCTTAAACGACCTTTCGTGAGACGTGGGACCGGGATCCATGGAAGGACACGGGGCCTCGGGGTGCGCCTCGGGTGGCCCCGAGGATGAGTGGGATGAGACGAAAAGCGATGCCCTGCAGCAAAGGCCAAACGGAGATGTCTAGACTGTGGCTACCTCAATCCTGCTGTTGGAAAATAATGTGAAACAGCCAACTTTTTTGTGGCAACTCTGGCACTGTTTGGGTGGTGTCGGTGGTGTTCTCCGAACTTGCTACTTACATGTTTGCAAACGAACAATTGCGAGCACCTTTTAGATGTTCAGGAAGCCTCTGGAAGACGCGCTGCTTTGGATTTTACCCCGGTTCTGGTATAAGTTGACCTGCCACGCTCCATGAACCTCTCTAAAGGCAAGACCAAAGGGGTACCCAAACGATCCGGTATTCGCACTGCCTTCTGCGAACCCCAACCACTTCTACGAACTTCTGCGAAGGCAAAGGGTTAGCACGCGCAAAAAGTCTTCCACGAACTCACCAAATCATCTACGAACCCCGCAAGCTTAGCACGAGCCCCAAAGACCTCCACGAAGCTCTGCGAACAGCAAGCGCATACTTCTAGTCTATACTATACTTAATGCATACCCCGTTCGTTTTGCCATGACTTGGCTTTACAGGACCATATATTCCCCAGTGCAGTTCAATCACAGGGTCCAGGGTGGAGCATAGCCAGTGAATACTACAAGTCAATTTGTTGAAACACGACCTGCAAAAGTACATGCCATGTCTCTCTCTCTGTATAGTTCAAGTTTTCCTTAAAATCTAGGAACCAATTGAATAGCGCGAGCGTGAGCTATCCTGCGTCCTAAGTAGTAGCTACTTAGGATACTATACAGCGACTCCCTAGCTTCTTACTAGCTGCCTACCTTGCTAGCGGCGGACCCCCCCCCACCGACCAAAAGGGAAACAACACGATGTCAACATCTCCAAGGCGCTGATCCCCCGATGTCGGCATGCTTCCCGGTGGCGATCTCACTCGGCAGCCCCGCCACGAAGCGCTGCACGCCCGGGACGTTGGTCCAGCGCACCCGGGACGTGGAAGTGGTGCCCGGCGACTTGGAAGGATCCACCTTACGCCTGGTGGGTGGGTCAAACAAACACAGGTGTGACACCTGGTTTTTGGTGGTCAGGTGTGGTCAGGTCAGAATGATGAGAACATGGTCAGCTCAGGTCAGGAACTGAAGTTTCCCTAAGAATCTAGGAACCAAGCGCTTCAAGGAAGCTCCCCCCCGCCCTCAGGCGACGGGAGCTTCCTTGAAGAAGCGTAGTGAGCTATCCTGCGTCCATGCTAGTAGCTTAAGTAAGGTACTAGCCACCTCTCCCTTACTTATAAGTAGGCGCCTACTTCACTAAGTAGGGAGAGGGCGGAGCGGGCTTTTTAAAAAATGGACGGTTCGGAAAGGGTTCGGCAAGGTGACAAAGGGTGACAAATGGGGACGACCAATGATGTGTGAGTAGATGCTTGCTAGGCAAAAAAACTTCAAAAATGAGATGGGCATGGGGTATCCGGTGGCCCCTCAAATTAAGAAACATGGAAGGAAACAACGGATCCTGCAAACGGAATGGGCACATGTGCATCCACGTCTTCATGTCCAGTGTAGTAGGAAACCAAGGACCATCATCCACCAACCATGCTTTCGAGATCTCGGGTCAAGCGTGGTCGGCCCCAAATCAATCCATAGGGATCCCGTCGTACCTTCTCAGAAGGTACATGTACTTGGAACCTACAAACCTACATAACAGTGTCTCCAATCATCTTCTGAGAAGGTGCCGCTGAATCCCTAGGGAATGCTAAAGCTGCCTCGCAGCTTTAGCGATGTCAGCGGTGCCTCAAGCGCTCCCAGTCCTGAACCTCGTCTTCACTGGGAGCATCATCCTCAAACTCCTCCAAATCAAGGTTCCTGAGTGATAGAAAGGAGATAGAACATGTTAAGGGCTTACTTATGGGTTGCCTCAGCGGTGCCTGTTGCGTCACCAGGCCAGGTCTCACCGGTGCTTCCCAGCTGCGGTGAAGCGTCCGGGTCCATTGTAGGTCCGCCCTTCAAACAGCGGTGGAAACTGGAGACCGGAGAACGGGTCGCGCCACCGTGTGCAGGATGGGCTAGCACAGCCAGCTTCTTCTGTGCAGGAGGATGGGATTCAGGCTTCGAAAACAAGCCTACGTACATATATATGGCAGGGTCGGGCAACACACGTCTATACACAAACACGCGACAACATGTATGTGGCCTTGCCATGCCAAACTTCACCTTTTGTATATCACCTTGCCCAAACCCAACTTGTCATCTTCACATAACATACAAACAACTCGTGTATTTGATTAAAAGCATGGCCTTGGTAGTTAAAGTTTATATCGACATGCCTCAAACTGGAACAAGGTTTTACCAACCGAGGCAGCTGCCCGAGTCAACCTCAAAATAAGTCGTGTCATCAATGTGCCCCATGAATTGCACTCTTGAAAGTGTGAACATCTGGAATCTGGAAGCTTCAACTTTGAGCTAGACTTGGACAACCAGCATCTTCTAACTCGCTTTTCCGAATTGCAGTCAACCCACATGGTTACCACTGCTGTCCTACTTCAAGAACCCTAAAGTTTACGCTTCTTACTCTGTTCCAACATGAC